TCGTTCGTAAAAGTCTTTGTGCATATTGACCTGATTCTTACGAACCCTCCAGCGGTCAATTTCGTTCTTACAACGAGCACGAAGCCATTCATAGCTACAAACATCAGGGTTGGATATGTTCCTATCCCATTCCCTGATATCATGAGCCAAACAGTTGAGGTGTCTAACCTTTTCACTGAATAGCGACCGCTTTACCTGCTCGGTCAGCGGTTCATCGAGACCCGCAAGGATGTGATCCCACTTCGCGATGAACCTTTCAAGTCGCTCCTCTTCAGTATAGAAAGATGAAACACTGCATCGCAAGTTTGAGAGCTCAATTATCCTGAATGATTGCTCTCCGATATTCGCAGTCCTTAAGTGGTCGTATAAGAGCCACAGGATCTGCCTACTCTTGATGCGATTGTTGGAGCGTTGAGCGGCTTCGGTGAGACGATTAATCTTATCGATGATTGCAACAGTCTTGATGCACTTCCGAATGGCTGCATTGAACCTGGCTTCAAGGATGTGGTATTTACATTCCCCATCCAGTTCATCAAAGGTCTTTGCCTTCTCGACTTCAGTTAGCCAATTGATGACGTAAAGTCCATCATAGCTGTAGGCATTGCTAACAGCTTCCTTCATATTGGCTATCCATACCCTCAGCCCAGCCGCGTCGGGCTCTGGCGGGAGGTCTATGGGAATGCACTTAGTCGCAGCTGTACAGTTCGGATCATGGTGGCTACTGTATCCGCCGCCACCAGTTCCGAAAAGATGCTGTGGAACCTGAGAACTACTGATTGACAGTGCACATACAGGACAAAGGCGAGTAGCCTTCGGAATGCAAATCTCACATGCCTTTTTCATGCATATCTTACATTCCCCAATTTTGCTGGGGTCAGGAATATCCCGATCACACATCCGACAGTTCTTGTCAGGAGGATCGGGGCCACGCATGGTCGGCGGCTCAAGGCCTGAAGGATCCTTCGGCCTTGTACCGTTGGGATCAAATCCTGGATAATATCCGGCTTCACGTTTATCCAGGGGCACGGGTTGCGTAGCCTTCGGAGGGCTCTGAAGGTCAGCCGCGTTGGGTTGACCCCCAGTGGGAATGTCACGGAATCTGTCAACGGGTGGCCGCAGAGGCGGCGAGTACGACCGCGTCGGGTTCGTCTCAGGTGCGCCTCCAGGAGATCTATTCCTGACACGGTTACCATCGGGATCCCTTCTTCTCCTAGTTTCGTCCCTAAGGCACGCAAGACAACAGGGACCCTGGACAAATCCAAATCTCCTGTAGTCATCCTGCCCAGCAGAATGTCTGGTGCAGTAGTAGGTCCTACAAAACTGACACTCAATTCCCTTGGTCAGGAACGAGCTCTCCCTACAGACACCGCATCGGGGTCCGTTACGGGAACATTCTTCACACAAGTTCTCTTTGAACGAGAAACAATACTCACAAATATCACCTCTGCATCCTTTGCAGTGAAACTCAGCCATGAGGTGATTATTTCCATCACCTACGTATTTACACCTGGGTTTACCAGGGTCGCCAGGGTTCCCACCGGCAGCACTCTTCTTCCCCCCTCCTCCTGGGCTTTGCCGATCTGGAGGAGGAGGTGGTGGAGGATCATCATCAGGAGGGCCAGGTGGAGGTGGCCGCTTATCCGGAGTACGGGACGCGGCACGCCTTCCTCCTGTGCGATCGTTCAATCCACTACTTGATGCCTGGTTCGAGTGCCTTGACTCGAGGGAGTTAATTCTCTGGGCCGTATTACCCAGCACCTCGAGCATTTGCTCGAGCTTACTGTTGAGCGTAGTCGAAACGGCCATGTTATGAGTATTTTGCTTGTCCGTGTAGGATTTGCAGTCCCTTGACTTTATCTCAAGGTTGGCTTGTGTCTCATAAAGTTGGTCTTTAACCCACTTTATGCCGTCCCTATTATTGGTCCAGCATTGTTCGACATCTTGCATCATCCTATCAATCTGACATACCCTAGTGGACAGGTCCTCGATTTTGAGGTTTACTCCACCAATCGCAGGATGGTTGGATTGGCTCTCCACTAGAGATCTCTCGATCGCATCAACACGAGCTATAAGCCCGGTTACTCGATCAGAAAGAGATTCAAAAACAGTTTGAACTTGGGTGATGGAGCGAGCAACATCATCATAGCTGGCTCGCTCATTTAGGGCATCGCCTATGCTTGTCATGCGATTGGAAACGATCTTGACGCGTTGGCCAAGCTCGGTCACGATGTCCTTAGTCCCTTGTGACAGCTGCATGGCCGCGTTCGCAGCCTGCGTACACGTGCTACTCACATGGACGCATTGGTCGTATTTGGCCCTCCACGAGTTAACCTCAGTGGAGAGCTGCTTGATGCATTGATCACTTCTACCATTCCTACGCCCAAGGTCTTCGACCTTAGCAACCAGGCGATGAATGATCGCACTTACCGAAGGGTCCACTCTCCCTCTTTCAAGGGCTGTTACAAGATCAGCAACCTCGTTGGGTTGCTCCTCACTCGCGGGACCAAATCCTGATCCGCGATCTCGAGGAGTGGACAAATCAACCATGATTGGATTAGATCTCGGAGGAGTTCTGAAATTATCCTGCACGGCCGTTGATGGCCGTGGGAACTCACTCCGATTAGGAGATTGACTCTGATACGGAGCAGATCTCCTAGCATCACGAACCGCAGAGGGTTGTGTCATGCCCAGGCCTTTGGCCACGGACAGTTTAGGAACAACAGGCCTATCCGTTCGCATAGGAACATCAGGTCTCGAGTCAGCAATAACAATGTCATTCAAGTCGGTCGCATTGGACACTCTAGACTCAGACATCGATTCAATATCAGTCGCATTACTGATGGTATGATTGCGACTAGAACTTGATGCCATCATGGACTCAGATTCTATCGGAACATTAGCTCCGTCCACGTTGTCCAGGGCGAAAATGGAAGCCGCGTTGGGCGTAGGGCGAACGCCTTGCGCGTTCAAGCCACTTGACCTATTAAATTCCTCCTGGAATGCTTCGATCCCATCAAGCACGTTAACGAGTGTGTCCGCGTTTAACGGGTCTCTACCAATGATCGACGCTGGGTCACCTGATCGACCGCGTCCTGAGTCCCGCGTACTGGGGTTGCCCCTGTGGGCAGTTTCCCGATCCATCCCCCTTGCCCTATGCGATCCAGTCGAATTTGACCTTGATCGTTTGCTTGGGGTTGGACTGGGATGCAAATCCAATCTATCTACGATATTACGCTCCCTAGGGCTCTCAAATCCTGAAAGTCCTGGGGGAGGGGACATGTTCCTCATGGTCGGGTTTACCGACGGCCTTGGCCTGACGTTACGGCTGGCCACGTCAGGATTGAGATTCTCAATCGACAAAGGTAGCATGAATTCATCGCTTCCAGCAGCCCGTTTTGGGCTTTGGAATTGCGGGAAAGATGACGGGGCGGGTGGCCCTGGCATCCATGCGGCAAAATCCATACCAAAAATGTTTCCGTCGTTGGGCCATGAGGCTCTCCAATCGAGCCCACCGGATTCGGTCGGCAGATGAACGTCAAATGCAACTCCACTGGATGTACCAGGTTCGGGATTACCGAGCACTTGAAAAGCTATGCTACTGGTTGGCACAGGTCTACTGCTGCCTCGGGAGTCACGAATTTCGGACTGACCAATATTCATCAGCTCGGGGAAAGATGAGGATTGAGCTCCAGGTGCAATACCGGGCTCGTCATCATCACGTCCTGAGACGGAATCATCATGGCCAGGACGATTAGACCCACGACCCTGAGAGCGATTAGCTCTTGAGGCATTAGACGATAGATCATCAGTGCGAGTAGCACTGGATCTCTCTGAAGGCATTGCTTCTGAAAAAGTGTGGTCCGACAAAAAGTCAGGACCGGAAAACATCGGCTGTCCGGGCACTTGGTCGTCATTCACAACGTCCAAGATTCCGGCCTGGCCGAGAACCCATTCATCGGTCACCACATGAGGCCCGTCCTCAGTGATTCCCGCCATGATACCTACAGAAACCTACGGTACCTGCAGGGTTGTTATTAAATAAAAAAGGTTCGCGGTGCCAACCGAGGACGAATCCTACGGCTGATAACCTGCGAAAGGGTTTGAAACAGTATTTCGGGAGAGAATAAACAGGCCCTAACCCACCAACAAGAAGAGACAGTTTAAGCCCCCCAGTCCCAAGGGCAAAGTGGTGCCCTCGGCTGGCAATGAACCACACAGATAACAAACGGGGGATCCTGTTTAACCGCAAAACCCAAACAGGAAAGGGGACCAGCGCAGCCAACCAAGCGAGCGCAGCAAGCAAGCGAGCAAAGCAATTAACCAAGCAGAAGCGGAGCAGCAGCAACAATGCGATTCCCAACCCAAACCTGACCCACACCCAAAACCACCCAGCCGCCGTAATCCGGGGCGTGGGATTCGAACACCCACGCACCGGCACGGCGCCGCTGCCAGCGATTTTGACGGTAATGGCAGGTCGAATCGACGGAATAAAAGCTTGAGCCAAATGCCGCGTTGGGCATTGGCGTGAAATTAAACATGTTGCGATAAAAGTACATGCCCCCAAAAACAGTCCCAAATGTGATCCCTATCCACCGGGGGGTTCTCAATCTTGGGTCCCCACGCCCAAAAGCAAAGCAAGTTTGTTTCACCATGCAACCTGCTGACTGGATTGGCCAGAGAGAAACTCCAAACTTGCTGCCACGTGAGAAGCACCACAAGGCTTGTCTCATTGCCCGGCTCGCATTGCCAACGCTCTCTAGAAATTGGTCCCCTCACATTACCCCAAAAGGAAACTCGCTTTGCATTGGCCTGCGGTCTTCGATCCATGTCCGCTTACATTAGCCCGACAACAGGCTATACAAAACACAACCATTGGACATATGAAACCCCAACAGCAGGCAACTACAAAGAAAAACGCGGCCATTGAACATATGCGAAACCCTGTTACCCTTCCCTTCCCTCCTTCCTTCCTTCCGAACCCCACGCGGTTGGCATCCGGCCGCGTCCTTGGGTCGAGGCTTCATCTTCAAGATGTTGGACTCGCCTGCGTGAGTTAGCCAAAAGTGCTCGGAAGCGGGATTGATGACTCATATTTCTCCCCTTACTTCTGGAGCTAAAAACTAAACATTGCCATCGACTTCCAATGCCCCTGAGAATTATTTTGCGCCCTTCTACTAGGGTTGCTTTACTCCAACTGCCATCCCTTCGGACCCAATTCAATCCTTTGTCCAGTCTTCCCAGGAAAATGGAACCCTAAACAAAATTCAGGGGGTTCCCCTGGAACCCAAAACTGCATGTCTCAAAGGAATCGCCTGCACCTTGCTGGGTTCCGTTTTAAAACTCTTCTGTTCAAAGGGAACCTCCTCCCGGGTTCAACGCCTGCGGATGGCTCCCCTCACCCGCGCGATCGCGCGCTTGCGAAGGTCGAATCGTCTGCCTGGCTCCATACCCAGCGCGATGGACGGCGGCAGGTCCTGGGTCAGACTGCGCAAGTGAACATTCGCGTCACAGAAATCCTACCCAGTGGATCCGTTTACCTGGATCAGTGGGTAACCAAGGGAACCTCCCGATATAAAAACAAAAAGGAATCTAGGTGCTCCAGTGGAGAGGTTAGAATAAGGGTACCCTTTTGTCTGTAGTCTATTTTAGTAGGGGAACCCTGCCCCAAAAAAGCGTAAAAGGGCACGACTGGGGGACCTAGGAAGATGGCGAAGGGTTACAGTTTTGTAGCGATAACTGGGATCCACTGGGCTGCCTTTGCCAGCCCCATGCCATAAGTTCACCGAAGGATTCCATAAGTTCACCACGCGATCCCGATAGACAGCAGGCCTTAGGCCTACATGGCGGTTTAGGCCGAAATGGCGGCATTGGGGAACAAGACCACGGGGAGTAAAGGAGTCGGACGAGTCTACCACGCAACAAATCCACTGGGTGTCTGATCTTCAAAACGAGGGGTCCTGATGGCGCAAATATGGCGGTCAAGCTGAACTTCTGCCAAACACGAGGAACTTCTGCGAGTGAATGGGACAATGTTGGGCAGTCTTAATCTGCACTAATAAATCCACCCACCTATTGACTAAAAAAAGCATGTTTCAAGCCAAGATCCAACAAACAAAAACATCTCCCCGATTACTTGTATTTCACCCAATGCCAAACCAACACTTAACTCCTGACCGCCCTTCTTAGGGGGTCGGGTAGCTTGAGCACTTCCCCGCTCTCGATGTTAAACTCAAATTGCAAGTTGTACGTAATTCTACAACGGCTTTTGCGCCCGGCGAACGGTGACAACCCCGTTTGGATGAGGGCATTTTAGTGGAAATCCCCTGCATCCCAATTCAAGTTTTCCTGAAAGGGGGGGGGCGGGGCGATTCAACGAATAATAAACCGGTTTTTCCCTGACGGGGGGGATGATTCAACATTTGCTTACGGTTCCGGGAACAAATAACAATATTCTTAGGATCCCTTTAAAACCAACAGGGGAGAATAACAAACAACATGTAAACTCAAGGGAAAGTACGCAAATGGAAGTTAATGGTGAAAAATAACAATATTGTTGGAACACCTACAGAGGAAAATGCAACAGGAAAACATACGCAAATGGAAGTTCATGGGTGGAAGGGGTTCGTTCTCAAGTGTCAAGGCTCGACTTTGAACAATTCCGATTGAAAGGGAAAGAGCTCGCATTGCTTGCCCAGTGCCCACAGGGAAAACGCGGTGACACCTGCCTCACAAGTGCAGCCTCGGGGTAGGGGAAGTTCGATTGGAGGGCATGATGATCACGCTGCCATGTTGCATAAAACCTGCTTGGTATCACAAAGAATGGGCACACCCAAGAAGAAGAAACAACAAGAGAAAGAAATAAACCTCCAGCAAAATCTTCATTGGTCAGGTTGCAAACCCCCCCTTCGTGAGATCGTTATAGCTTGAAACATGCCGCTCAAGTGGTCGTATGAGCTGACTACACCTAGGTCTTCCATGTGATCACTGTTCACGGCTCTGGGCATTACTGTTTTTCTCGTTTCAGATTTTGAGCGGAAAAACGTGAACTGAGCGGAAGCCTTGATTTGGCCGGAAATCAGTGGGAAATGAGCGGACAAATTGAGCGTTTTAAATGACATGACATGAGCGTTTGTGAATACGGAAAAAAGGTGTACAGGGAAGACCTAGGTATATTCGCCGTGCTGGATTTTAAAGGGACAGATACGCCCCCGTCCAAAAGGGAACCCCTACCCTGAAGACTGGAACACTGGAACACTGGAACACGGGAACACTGGAACACTGGAACACTGGGACACTGAAACACTGGAACACTGGAAGACTGGAAGGCTGGAACATTGGAACACTGGAACACTGGAACACTGGAGCCCTCCCACCAACATGGCACCTATGGGAGGGTACCTGCAAGATGAAAAACTCCTCTTGGAGGGGATTTGTTGTCAGGTGCCATGTTAGTGGGTTCGGGAGGGTAGGCAAAAGTGGATCTGGCGGCCAAGCAAAAGTGGAAAACCGTGGCCTCATGTGTTTTTCTCCTGTTTGTCCAAGGCTCGGTGACCAGGATCAGGAACAGGATCTGCAGGGGCGAGCGCATCACCTCGATCACGAAGCTCACGCGTCAACACAAGCTCACCCATGAAGGTCCTTTTACTTGGCGGATGCCTCATACTCCCCTCTGGTACTAAACAGGGAGTCCTCCCCTGAACAAAACAAATTCCTGTGGGAAAATAACACGTTTTACTTGGGGAATCTTGAGTTATGGTAATCCGCCCTCCTTGAAATTTTGAGGCCTTTCAAAACCCTCCAGGGCTGGGCTTGCACAATCCACCGGTTAGTTTAACCACTTCCTTGGCAAGAGGCGTCCGCCATCCATTTTCACCCCCTTAGGTCCCCTGCTAAAAGTTTCATTTTTAGTAAGTTAAATGGAAACCACCACTAAACACTAAAGGCTAAAAAGCTAAGGGGATGACTGGGAGCCACCCAGTTTAAAGCCTTGCTCCACCTGCCTGAATTTGAGACTTGGGTGTGTACCCGCGGGCAGCGCGCATTTGCCAAGGGAAGGCGCTGCTTGGCTTCGCCTTTGATTCTTTAAAACCGCCAAGAAGTGTGGAGCAGCTGTTGAAGGGTGCCCATCAGTTTTCCCAAGTTGGAAAGCAAGCTCCAGTGCTGGTTTTGAGGCATAAACGCCCACCCTACTCTCACATTGTCACCATGTATCGCGAGGGGCTCTGCGCATGAAATTACTTTGCCTGGGGACCCCCCAAACGCCGGCCAATCTCGATCCCACACATTCCAATCGCGGAGCCACGTTGGTCATTGCTGTTTCTGTTTCGGCTTTCGCAGTCTTATCTCAAGTGCTGGCCTTCCTCCATCCATACCTGGAAACTGGAAGGAAGTGACGTCGCTCAGATGGGCAGGGCCTCACTGGCAAAACTCGTCCAATCGCCGTCCAACCGCGGTCCAATCGCGGAATTCGTCGGCGAACCAGCTTTTGCCAGTAAGCAGATTTAGAAAGCACAGCCTGGGGCTGCGCAGGCGAAATTCAGCTTTCCAGGAGGAACTTTTGCGCGAGCCCGTGCAGTCAAAATGAGCGAGACGTGCGTCGGCACCACAATCTAAACACCATGCAGCGTCTAAATTCACAATAATTCGTTGCCCTTTCGCGGTCCAATCGCTGGCCTTTCGCGGCTCGAGTTTTCCCAATCGCGCGGTTCAATGTTGCTGCTGCTCATAAGTTTTAGACATGCCATTACGGACGGCCCCCATGTGAAAGGATGGCCCCAGCTGAGCCCATTAGCAGTGGCAGCCTTGATAACACACAACAACACCCTTCAAAATGTGATTCGACTGACATGTGAGAATCTCCAATAGGCGCAGGCTAGAATGGGCCCAATCCACTGCCTTCTGCTCGTGTTGGTCCAAGGGTAGGGTAGATTCCAGTAGAGAATAGTATTGTTTTGACGTTTTACCGTTGGTGTCAGGATTGTTTATGTATTGGAAGCGATGTGAATTGGATTGAATCTGTCAGATATATCTGCATATTTTATGGGGAGTCACCTGGGGGGGGGGGGGGTAAAACGAGCTCACCAGGTTGTGGAAGTCTTGTAAGATTTACAAATATCGATTTATGGACGGGTTTTTGCAGCCGGCCCATGAGCTCTTGAGGTCTTTCCCCTGAAAGCCCTCGGATGGCTCAAAGGGCAGCCCAAAGGAACCCATCCGAATTCTTGGAATTGGAGGGAGGAGAGCTCCCGGAATTCCGTTGTCATTGTCCCGAAATCAGGGCCGGAACAATGGAATTGGGCGGGGGGCATGTTTTCCCACTACTTTCTCGCTCCCACTTCAGGTGGGGGAAATAGTAACCCAACAAACAAAAGCACTTTCAGGGGTTGGAACTCAACTTCTCCCTCAAAGGACGCGGCGGCATCCTTTGGTTGACTAGCTTATCTAGGCATTCCATTGCAGAAGGATCCTTCTGTTGACAAGCTGTCAAGGCCTTCTTCTGGGGCAGAACCAACCAGGACCTAGGGCTAAAAGAAGCCAGGCAATTCGGGGGCCTCCTGTGTTTAGAGGCAAAGCCAGATAGGTGCGGCCCCTCCATATCCCTTTACATGGCTCGCATTATCCTCAAAAGTTCCAAAGAGAAACGGTCGATTCACGCGAACAATTCGTAGGGCTCCTTAATTTGGCACCTTTCTCAAAGACAGGACTCGGACCATCTCCTAGCACATCGTTGGTCCGTTTGGCCCGTTCAAAACCAACAGCGCCGCATCCCATCCTGGCGGATTCCCATGGCCAAGGCACGGGGATGCCCACCACGATGCAAATAAAGATCTGCATCACCTCTCCAGCTCGCTTTTCTTCGACCCCCCCTCCCCCCCCAAAGAAACATTGTACAACCAAAAAACCAAACGCCCTGATCGATCCGACTCCAAGCCTTGAGGGTTATATGTTTTTGGCCACCCCCCCCCACAATGGTTGTGGTTTCCCTGGAAAACCTAAAAAGGATATCGTCCACAATGATTCTCATGGTTTTGTTGGGGATGTTTGTCCCCGAACCCCCAGAAGCGAACCGCCGAACCGCCTTGAAGAAGTCGGGATCCCCCAAAAGGAAATCACCAGCAGCCCTGAGAACCTGGAAATGCTGTTGGGCGAAATTCACTTGTCAGGGATGACCTAACAGCTCCAGTGCATCCAGCCATGCTTGCGGGAAGCAAACCTTGGGATGCTGTGGGTGAACGAACTCCGTTTGCACCACTTTGAAACCATAGGAAGCCGTTGTTTGTTGGTAGTTAGAGGGGCATCATCATTCCCCGGTTTCGTAGGTGGTGCGAAATGGATGTCGTCCATCCACTGGCCCTATGGGCCCTATGGATGATCGTTTCAACCCAACCCGAAAAGGGCAACTTCAGAAAAAACACCCACCCAAATGCTCGATTTGGCTTGGTTCGGGTTGGCTTCCCATACGGTTCGGCGCTTTCATGTCCCACGCATGGCCTCCGCGATGTGCACGGACATGATGAAGGCCACAAACTTCTGGATGCCCGCATAAATGGCGCGACCCTTCTCCACCTAGTGGAGCCAATTGAAAGCGTGTGGTGTCACCATTTGGGAAGGGGGGCTCCAATCCAGATTGTTTTGGACTTCTTTAAAGGGTTGATCCCTCCAAAACAGTTGGAACAAGGGCCATGGTTGTACAAGCGCGCCCGGTTTGGGGCGGGACATTTTTGGAATAAAACAATTAAACGGGTACGACAATTGCATTTGGGAACCCTCTAGAAGTTGACGTCGGATGACCTTGACCATCCTTTGCGCTTTTGAGTTCCACGGCCGGAGTTCTATCCGACATTGCACACCTCTCCTTTTTGACTCCGGAGGCTGTGCCGGACAAGTAAGGTAGCTTCCAAATTCAATATATTTGCATGTCCTCATCTCTCCAACCTCCGAGAAAAAAAACACCGAAAATCCTAGGCCTCCGTTTGGTTCCGATGTTGAGCGCCGACATTCGGCTCCCCATTCATATAGAGTGACAATCTGTTGACCCCCCGTCAACCAAAAAAAAAAAAAAGACAAGAGGAACCCCAATCACGCATCACAATCGCAAACAGCGGAAACAGGAAGGGGGACGACAACGGCCAACGGGGAAGCGCAAAAGGAAGGGCAACAGGAACACTTGTGGCGGCTGGATAGACTTCGGAAACCTCGACATCTTCCTCCCATCTTTCCCGGAAACCCCTTCAAAGTCTAGTATATAGTACATTCCCTCACCTTGGGAGAATGCCAAACAAAAAACGGGGCAAGAGAAGGGCCGCTTTGCTGGGCTGGGGGGGTGTGGGAAGAACCTGATTGCTCCCTCCCCTCGAAGCCAGCAAGAACACATGCTCCGCGAGCTGCAAACGCATGCAAGCCCAAGCCAGCTCAATTCTTCAAGAACGGGATCAACAAGGAGAAGTCGGATGGCCTGCCCGCACAGTCACCAGCTTGTGCCTGCTTTTGCCAATGCCAAGCGAACCGGACCCCCATTCCACATGGAACACCCCAACGAGAGTCCTCTCAGGGCGGCTGCGGGGGCTTCATGTCAACTTCCATTTGCTTAGGCCGCCGGAGAACAAACATGTTTGTTTTTTCCTCAGTAGTCATAGGTTCCTTTAAAACCAACAAGGGATAATTATACAAATACTCTTAAGCAAATGGAAGTCAATCTGCAACTAAGTGACCATTGCAGTGGCAGCAAAGGGTCAGTGAGTTCAAAGAGACCCGTACATGCTCGCGTTGTCCCCTCTCTCTTGAAACGCACATGTCCCGAGAAAGGCTGCCAGAAAACGCGCGTGCAAGCCATGTTTGCCAGGGCTGCTCCAGACACCCTGGCAGTGGAAATTTGGCCGACAACAAGCGGCCAGGAAAACCAAATAAGACAAACCCAGTTTTTCTACCCCCCGTCAAATTCGGTCATGGAACGGCTTGGAGCAGCCCTGCCTGCGTTGGGACACCAACCCAAACGCCAAAAACGCAGCGACGTTTTCATCCGGGCTGCCGCAGCCACGATCGAGCAGAAGTTGTCATCTGTGAGGATCCTTGCACGCCAGGATGGCCCGAGGCTGTTCTCGAATTGGGGGTATCCCTATCCCTCCATTTGCGTAAGCCCCTGGAATTCATACAAAAATATGTCTAGTAGTGATAGGCTCCCTTTAAAACCAACAAAGAAATAGCACGTAATATTCCTTTTGGAAGATAAAAGTATCCTCTGACAGTGGTGGGGCTCCGGTTGACCCTCCCAAAACCCCGTGGGGTGCAGCATGGTGCAGCCCGCTCCATACATGTGTTTTTGTCTCCCTAGCGTTCCCGCCCCGAATGTGAAGAATGCTCTCAACAGGGGGACACCTCCCTTTGAATCAACCAGAGATTGTTTAATCCAGAAATCCGAACATACAAACACACACAAACACGCACAACCATACACAAAAACAAACACACACACACACACACATGCACACACACAAGCACACAACCACTCAAGCACAAAAAACACACACACACACACACACACGCACACACGCACGCACGCACGCACGCACGCACGCACGCACGCACGCACGCACGCACGCACGCACGCACGCACGCACACACGCACACACGCGCACACGCGCACACAGGCACACGCGCACACGCGCACGCGCACACGCACACGCACGTGTACGCACGCACGCACGCACGCGCGCGTGCGCGCGCACGCACGCACGCACGGACGCACGCACGCACGCACACACGCACAGACGCACAGACGCACAGACGTACACACAAACACACACAAACAAACAAACAAATACCAGCTCGCACGTGCACGTGCACATGCCCCCCCTCATCCTGACCCATGCAAGGCGCATGTCTGAGGCTCCCTTGGCCACCTCCGTGCCCTGGATGCCCATGGCCACTCCGATGTCCGCCTGGTTCAGCGCTGGCGCGTCGTTCACCTCGGACCGAACACAGCTCTCAGACCCGCCGCCACGCGCAATGGCGTGGGGAGCGCCGTGTTGGCTTGCTTTTCGACAACGGTAGCATGTTCCTGATTCTGCAAAAGCGACGCTATCCGTATCGGTTTGTCTTTGGCGAAACTTCTCAAAGTGGGTGGTATTTGCTGCATTCTCCTACTTTGAAAGCGCTTCAGGTGGGCAGGCCCAGCCTAAACGCCGACCCGCCTGTGGATCCCAATCTTCGAGGAACGGATGCGGAGTCAGGATTGTCTGTTGACAACGTTCGTTGAAAAATCAGCAAACGCCTTTTAAGGGGCCTTCTACGTTCCTACCAGGTTTTCTACACAACCCTTTGTCATAGAGCTTTCGAACCATCGCACTTTGAAGGGATGTCTCATTAATATGTCTTTCCGAAAGTGGGTTGGAAAGGTATATTAACATGGGTTAGCAGGGTTCCCCAACTCCCCCAAACGGCGGTTTTGGGGGGGTCTGCCGTAGTGCAAGGCCTTCAAAAGCAAGGCTTCACACTATGACCAGCCCGTTTCGCCCAGTTGCGCCGTCACCCGTCATGGCCGCAACTTGGCCTCGCGGACATGAACACGTGCCAAAGGTCCGATACCTTCTGGCCTATTGGGCTATCGGCGTAGGCCTAAGTATGCATTATTGGCCGACATAACTTTAAACAAATACCGTACACCACCCCGTGCGGTCTTAAACACCTTGCGACGGATCCACGCACAGTTCGCGCCAAGTTTCCACAATGAGTAACTCTGTTTGGCCTCGTTATCACTGCAACACAGTGCCCAACAAAAAGGTACCGAGCTTCAAAGAAATGACACAGGAAATACCCACGTGCGAACTGGGAAGTTGGATCGATCACCTTGGGCTCAAACGGTCAACTTTCATCCAACTAGAGTTGCCCCTCTTTTTGCGAGTCTCCTTCCATTTAAGTTTTAAAACTTGCCAAACTCTGATCCTTCTTATTTGACGCCATGTGCGCACCTTTTGGGTTTCATACCCAAACCGGGCTGAAGCCTTGCTGGCGCCTGGATTCCTCCAAGTCGATCATTTGCTCCGTGTGTGGCATTTGTTGCCCCATGGTCCTTGCTCATCCGTAGGCCTAGCCTAGGCCTACACTAGATGGAAACTGGGAGATCTGGCCAAATTTAAGGGCCTGCGTAGTGGCACAGCTGTAGAATCCCCCGTTTGCCTCCTTTTCGCAAAATCGCCGAACATGTTGAATGTGCGTTGCTCACAACGATCCGGCTTCTGTATAAACAGCGTGCGCATTCTACGAGCTTGGATGTACATCGCATACATGAACAAATGTAAAAAAAAAAAAAAACATGCATGTAAACAAATGTTATATACAATGTCCAAGCCTGAAACAGGGGTCACTGGGTTCCCCAAATCAACAGTTGATCAACTTACTGGTGGCTTCCATTCAAACCATCGCCACTTTCTGGAGGTTCCAAAAAGGGGAAATTGAGGAAACCATGTGAAACAAAGACAACAAACCAACCCCCCGGCAACGGCCAAACGACGAACCGCGAACCACGCCGAGCTCAGCAAAAACGCCTTGGCGCTGGATACTCTTCACAATCTCCAGCTTGTCCTGCGCGGATCCGGCTGTGTCAAAGGGTCGATTCAGCAACCCCCCTGCCCTATGCTTCCAAAGCCTATTAAACAAATAGTCGACGAGCGGCAGCCCCCGTTTTGGACTGGAACCAGGCCTAGGAAAGACTTGACGCTAAGGCCGCCTCATAGGATCCCAAAGCCGAATATGTATTTTTCATATGCAGCAATATGTGACATATACGTGTTACAATCTTCAAGGCTAATGTTGGCTTCTATGTTGCTTGGTTTCTTAACATGGCCATGTAGCGCGTGAGGGTGAACCCTCTTCTGACCGTTTCTGTCCTTCTTTTGCCCCAACTTCTTAGCCAAACCAACAAAACGGGACAGCAAGAATATTTACCCATCACAGCAACCATTCCAGGATGAGAATGTTGATCTTCTGGGTCCCCTGCAAAATTTGCCCGTTCTACGCCAAACAATAGTGGTTCTACGCTACGCCAAAAAATAGTGGTTCTACGCCAAAAAAATGTGTTTCTACGGTTCTTCTACGCTTTGTCTACGGTTTGTCTACGCTCACGTCGTTTTTGGAGCTGTGTGAAAATTGGAGCGGAAAAAACAAGCACACAATTGCTAGTTGTTCGTGCCACCTGCGCAAATTGTAGAGGAAAATTCTAGAATTTGCTAGAATGAAGGCTCCGTCTACGCAAGACTTTCAGCAGGCATTGCGCAAACACCAAAGGGCCCCCAGGACCCTATCAATAAATAGTAATCTACTGGCTCCCAAGGCTTCTTAAGAGGTTGCAATAGCAGGGATAAAAAACAAAGTAACAACCCAAAATGGACCCCAAAGGCCAATGCCAAAAAAATAGGGGTTGAACAACCCCTATTCAAAAAATAGTCGAGGAAGCACAGGGCCTGCCTGCAGCGTCAAACTGCTAGAAACTAATGCGAGTTTTGGTCGCATGTTTCGCACCACTTTTCCCGCAAAAGAACCAAGATGTCCATGTGTTTCCTTGTTGCAAAGGGCTTTCTCTCTTATTCGGTGTGATGTTGCCCACTTGGCAACTTTTGAACCCTTCTCCCCATGAAACCCCTTCAATCCTAGCTGTCTGCGCGGCAACATATATGTTGGGTGAGACAAGCATTTTTGTTCGTGCCACTTTTTGCCAGCAAAACGAGCGTAAAAGCATTGCTTTGTCAACAAAGATGGGCTCAAAAACAAACCTAGGGACGAAATCCTGCACCACTTCGAACCCATACCATTGTTTGCTGGTATTTACAAGGGAATCGTCATTCATGGTTTGCTTAGGTGGTGCCTAAGAGGATTTCGTCCATCCACTTAAGCAAAAGCTGCCCTCGCACCTAACGCTTTGCCCCGCCAACGCCCACATCCCTCCAAACTCCTCTGGCTTGGCCCGGGCGAAGACGCGCACGCTGCCGGTGAGCAGGTCCATCTCCTGAGAGACGGAGACTGGACAAAAGGCGAAGCGAAGTTCGGAAAACCGATCCTACAACTGATTCCTGATTTTTCCGGGTGATTTACCCTATGACTGATTTCAGGTATCACAGTTTTCGGGTGTTTTTAGGAAACATTCAGGGGATTCTTGTGGAAAATCAACCGACAACTGTGATGCCAATGTGGCCCGACCCTACCAACCCCAGGGACAAAGGGTCAGGGGTTTGGGTGGGGGGGGAAGTCGGGGCGGGGGAACCTGAAAGAGAAAGACTCCCAGTTGAAAACTCTTGGAAAAAATGGGTCAAGCCTTTGGCCGTGTGAGCATTTAAGCTATACATTGCTTCCCTGCAAGGAAGCCATGAGGGAACGGGCTTTTGTCGCAAATATCCTTGCTTTAGGGCGGGGATGGTCGATCTTTTGGAGCCCTGGCTGCGAAAGCCAAAGCAGACCCCCAAAAAGGAAACATTTGGGCCAATCAGCAAATCACCGGTAGTTTTCAGATGCATCCTTTAAGGGCCAAAACGAACTCTCCTGCCCCGTTTTCCACGAACGGACAAGTCCACGACTGCGACACCTGGAAAATCACCCTCCGAAAACAGCTGGTTCAAACTTGCCATGCCTCTCACAGTGATTTGGATCACCCTCCAAAAAAGCGGTCAATTGAATTCATCCCTTTGCACAACCAATCACCTTCCGACAGATCACTGATCACCCAAGGGCGGCGAGTATTTCCCGTTTCTCTCCAACAATAAAGCCGGTCAACATCCAGCAGATATGGGAAGAGAGAACGGAGGTGACATGCACAAAATCACCCTTGAAGCAGGTTTACAGCGAAACCTCTCAAAGGAGTTTGGAGAAGCCCTGGAAATGCAGCCATGCCTTTGACAACCCATGTGTTCTCTTAATATCAATATATGAATACTCATAATAATGACAGTAAACAAACAATGTTATGTGATACAAAGTGATACAAACAACGCAAAATAATCCATATATATATAATTAATAGTGACAAAAATATTTACAACAACAACACATGGCTGCAGGAAAAGCCCCTGTGTCCTTTGCAAAGGAAGTTGTGTGGTCAAGTAGCAATCGCTGCTCATATGCTCCGCAAAATTGATTCGGAGCAACGGCCTATGGCCCTTTACGGCCTTGAGCAGGAATCCAGTAGGATGCATCATACATCCAAAAACCACATACTTTACAAGGATTTGGATCCTCCAAATCGATCTTCCGGCATTTGTACGTTGCCTTTTTGCACTGGCTCAAACGTGTTCATAAAGAATTATCACTTCCGTGGAAGTGACCAGGACAAAAACAACAAGCAGTTTGTTTGTCAGTAAAATCGTCCTTCCCCAAGAAGTTGTTCAAGCCCGGGACCCAGGGAGTAAGTGCCAGAGACCCTACCAAGCAACCCCCAAACAGTCAAGGGATAAGCCTTACAAGCCGAAGTAAATTGACCAAACCACGTCCAAACTTGTTGTTTGTCACTGAAATGATCTTCTCAGTTGCTTTCAACGGGAAACCCCTCCAACCAGGTCCAAAAAAAGGCCTCGCGCGGCTCGCAACCCACTGGGCTGGGAAAAATTTGGTGACCGAGGATTGATCAAAAGGCTTGATGCATGGGATGACCGTTGGGGGAAACCACGAAAAACATGGCATTCCAACCACTAAATGGAAAAAGTTGCCCATGGTCATGTGGTGGAAGAGTATATGCACACACGTCCAGTAGTGAAATTGCTTCCCTTTAAAACCAACACAGGGGATAGTTGATTCAAAAAACAATCACTTCAGCAAATGGAAGGCTCGGAATATTGAAAAAAAACAAACAAACAAACAACAAAAAACACAAACAAACAAACAAACCAACCAACCAACCAACCAACAACCAACCAACCAACCAACCAACCAACCAGCCAACCAGCCAACCAACCAACCCAACCAACCCAACCCGACCCAATCCAACCCAACCCGACCCGACCCGACCCGACCCGACCCGACCCGACCCGACCCGACCCGACCCGACCCGACCCGACCCGACCCGACCCGACCCGACCCGACCCAACCAACAACGACAACGACAACGACAACGACAACGACAACGACCACCACCACCACCACCACCACAACCACAACCACAACCACAACCACAACCACAACCCCAACCACAACCAGAACCCAGAACCCAGAACCCAGAACCCAGAACCCAGAACCCAGAACCCAGAACCCAGAACCCAGAACCCAGAACCCAGAACCCAGAACCCAGAACCCAGAAGCCACAAGCCACAAGCCACAAGCCACAAGCCACAAGCCACAAGCCACAAGCCACAAGCCACAAGCCACAAGCCACAAGCCACAAGCCACAAGCCACAAGCCACAAGCCACAAGCCACAAGCCACAAGCCACAAGCCACAAGCCACAAGCCACAAGCCACAAGCCACAAGCCACAAGCCACAAACCACAAACCACAAACCACAAACCACAAACCACAAGCCACAAGCCACATGCCACA